TCATAATCAGAAAAAAAAGCTTTATAACATTATCTTTATAATACTTAATTTTTATAATAATAATCCTAAAAATGGTAACATTTTTCAATAAAGGGATTGTATTATATTAAGAATATTTTTCATGTTGGCATTTTAATGCTTTAGTATTTACTAAACCACATATAATATAAATATACATGCACAAAATCTACATTTAGGTCATTCAATAAACAAAAAATAGCCCTTTCTATGACTTTGTTAGGTAATTTGGCACTTCCTACAATCTAAAATTAATAACTATTGGTTGAATTTGTTAAAACTATGGACCATATTGAACTATTTTTTTAAAATGGCTTAGGTTTATAATCATAGCTATAATCCAGGGGCAAAATTTGAACATGTTTAACAAAGATAAAGAAAAAATAAACTACAGATGGAAAAAGTAGCAGTCATTCCTAGGTAAGTCAGGGAATATGGGTGAAGTAAAAAAATAATAATAATCATGATTGATACCAAATTAGTTTTGTTGAATAAGAACGGATACAATAGTTTGGTTGGTTGAAGTGAAATGAGATGGAGCATAAGAATAGAAATATACACCATAATAAAGTTCTTACTTCCATTGCACCTAAAAGATTTGCACTCTCTCCAATGCTTTCTTCTATGTACCTACGTTCTTCATCTGTAATAGTAGGATGCTTTGCAGGACTCTCATAAGACACCAAAAGCCAAAACATGTACCAGACCATTCCAAAGCTACCTGCAAGCAAGAGTTCAAAAGGAGGAAGTCAAAGGAAACCACTGTAAATACTTCCACTTAGCAGTCATTTGCTGAAGGCCGGTCCTATAGTTTTATCACTTTGTCTCTGTTAAAGAACACTGACACACAGGAAACTCACAATATTGCTGAATGATATGGGCTGGAACATCCTCATATATCCAACAAACATTTACTGAGCAGTTACTTTTACAGGCACTCTGCTAAATGACAGAAATATTGTGAACAAGGAGAAATTCCAGTCCTCCAAGAATTTTTGTAGTGAATTCTTTTATTATTTGCCTGTCTTGAGTATATGTAAGTGGTCTATATTTTCAGAGAAAAGAAATGTGCCTTTTCCTCTACTGTTAGCACTTCAAGGTCTAGTAAATAGACTATTAAATAAAATCTAGATTATTTTAGCCTGAGTAGCTATTGTCAATAAAAATATTATATAAGAATAATTTAAATACCAAAAAAATGGGTTTCTGTAATGAATGTAGTAACATTTCCCACTGTATGTGACTGTATACCATATTATTTTCAGTTCATGCTATTACCTATTGATCATTCTTTGGGAAGATGAAAGTTATACATTCAAGTACAATGAACTGTTTGCAAGTTTGTTTGTTTTTTTCATCCCCTTCTTTATTTAGCATTCTCACCATTAAAAATGCACTTATTGTGCAATATAAATCTGGAAGAATTAATAATAGAAAGAATTTCAGGTGATTTCTTCTGGTTTGCCAGCAGCTGGCCATTTCATTTCTGCCTCATACGGTTGTCTTTTTCCCATGGGTGACAATCTGAATGCCTCTGATATCCATAATACTGTTTTTTGCTTGTTCAGTCTCTAAGAAGAGTTCCTTAATACCAGAGTTTTTGATGTCTCATGCTTCTTTTAATTACTGAACATGGCAGCAAACACAATTTTGGGTCAGATAGTATATGAAAATTCAGTATAATGGAGTAGTTGTGGAATATCACCTCTTAGATTCAAATCCTGACTGTGTCACTCATTAGTGACATGATCCGATCAGGAACTGAATCTCTATAAACCTCCACTATAAAATGAGATAATGATCTTTTTATGAGATTGTGGCAAAGAAAAGTTAAAGGAGAGGATTCATAAAACAACTAGCAGTGTGGATGGCACAAAATAAGCACTCAATAAATGTAATTTAGAAATAATCATTACCACTAACTGAATGCATCTGAAGTGCCAGAAACTCAGCTAATTGCTTTATATGCATTATCTTTTTCAATTTAAGGCACTATACAGGTCTTATCTTACTAAGTTTTAAAATATCAATGCTGCATGTGTGGTTCAAAGACCCAATTTTTGTTACACACAGTAAGTAAGCAAGTACTATTGTATGATGTTTTCAGAATATCTAATATTTCAAGTTTGTACCATTCAATGATACATATTAAATAAATTATATGACTTGAAATAATAAGACTGGTTTTCATGAACACTTTCTGAAAATTTGTATCTTTACTCTAAATCCACATCATGTCTTCAATTAAGTAACAGATGAAGGCACAAAGCAGAGGATTTAATGGATGGCCATCTCTACTTGTACTACACACCCTATAAATAAATGCTTTAAACTTCTTTGAATTATGGACTCTGGAAAATCTAATGAAAGATATGGATTAAAATCTGATAAAAATGTCTCCCCAGAAAAGGGAATAGGCATAAATGCATGTATTTACAATTTAGGGTATGCATAAATCCAAAACCCATCCATGGCTTTTGACCCTAGATAAGGGCCTCTTCTATGAAGTATATTTAATAACATTTTACAAACACAGGATTGGCTCTGATGAAAACATTTCAAAATAGAAATGGATCATGGCAAATTTGGGAGCCGCCAGGTACTGCTCTCTTCAACCGCCTGAATTCATTGATCTTTCAGATTCTTGTGCCCGTGCTCAAAGATGGTATTAATCAATGACATATCCGTTGGAGTCCAGCTCTCTTCTATTTCTCCTTTCCTCATTATTAGAAAAGTACCTTATAAAGAGCAACTTTAGGGGTACTTTCAAGTGGTAAGCTTTCAGTTTCTCATTGGAAAGTAAACAGAAAGGGAGTTTGAACTTAGGGTTTCTTGTCATTTTTATTTAAATTTGGGGGCTTAATCTCTTTTAATGCTGGGGAAATGAGGACTGAAATGTGCTGCTGTTGCTGCAGGTAATTGATAGTATTTCATCACAAAATTGAATTGTTTTATTTAGCATTAGTAAATGAATTGCCATCAGCTTTCTGCCTCTGTCCAGTTGAGAGGAAGTTTGATCAAGGGAATGACCACGAAAACTGTAGCAAAGAAGAGAAATGGGTGCTGCCTAGCTTTTTCCTCTTAATCAGCTTTGAATTAAGTGCTAATTTTATTTTTTCTATTCATAATCAAAGACGATATATGTCATATATTACAAAGCTTCCATCAGCAATGTGGTTGCTTTTTTAAACAATAAATAACAGTGTAGGGAAAATCATGAAATAAACATTTTCCTTGATCGTCACTGGACATAATGTCAGGATTCTTAATGGAAAAAAACAAGCAAGTAAACACAGAAATATGTTGAGTGATCTATGTCATTGTTTTAGCTTACGTACATTTCTTTTAAGTAAATATGTTAGCGATGCAACATACCATAGACATAGAATACTGAAGACCAGCCAGTGTACTGCACAAGAATGCCAGCTAAAGGCATTGCAATCACAGCTCCAGCATAGGAACCTAAAGCAGTAGGGAGAATGTAAGAAAGATAAGTGAAATCAACAAAAATTCTTCACTTTTCCTCATGTTCCTTGGTTGGCTAACACAAACACACACTTGCATGCTCAGGTGCATGAGCAGTTACCCATACACCTCACTCCCTGTCTCCCTTTGTCATATATATATATATATATATATATATATGTATATATATATATACATATATATATATATGGAAGAAATAGAGAATTTAAGGAGACCAATAAGAATTAAAGACATTGAAATGTTTGTCAAAACCTTTTCTTGTGTACACACATACACTCCAGATGGTGTTACAGGTGAGCTTTACCAACTTTCAATTCTTATTCAAGCTGTTCCTAAAGTTTTACCCACCATAACTACACCAGCACATAGCACTCACCACAGAAGGAGGTGGTTGCCAATCTACTCCTCTCCAGAGGAGGGGCCCATTTGCTCCAAATCCCATGACATGCTGGGTAGGTGACGCCCTGCGATGGGGCAAGACATGTATTATTATTTAGGATCCAATGTCATTGGAAAATAAGCACATTCTCTTTTCGGATGCTGTTTCTTTAGAATGGGCACAAGGGGAAGTTGTTACTCATGGGCCTTTGCTGATTTTCTGAATGTTCAGTTTTCAAACTTTTCAGCCCCAGACCAGGTAAAACATGGCCCCTTTGTAAGTGACCCGTTCAAATTCTCCCAACGCTTCAAGTCTTCCTTCTACCTCAGTTTTATTCAGATTAAGGCAAAATAAAAGATCTCGTATTACTCAGTTCATCTGCAATTCTGAACAGTTTGGGATTTTGGAAGATCTTTTTGTGAGACATTTAAATCAGTGATTCTCAAATATAAGGAAGCCATATGAAGGAAGGTGAAGCTTACATCCTAGAAGCTCGCACTTCCTAAAAGTATTGTCTAGAACTTATTGCCAGACCTCTGTATCCACAGGTTTTGTGTCCACAGATTCAATCAACATCAGATTAAAAATACTTGGGCAAAAGAAATGTTACATTGTTGCTGGTGTGTACTGTTGTGTACTATGTAAGTTCAGCCTCCCATGGTTGTTTCTGTGCTGAACATGCACAGACTGGGTTTTGTTTTGTCATTATTCCCAAAACAATGCAGTATAACAACTATTTACATAGCGTTTACATTGTATTAGGTATTATAAGTAATCTAGAGATGACTTAAAGTATAAGGGAGTATGTATGTAGGTTATATGCAAATACACCATTTTCATATAAGATACTTGAACACCCTGGGATTTTGGTATCTGAGGAGGGTCCTGGAACCAATCAATACCCATTGGATACCAAGACATGGCTGGTATTATCCTTTTTTTAAATTTATTTTTGATCCTATCAATTTTTTTCTTCTTTGTGGAAATAGGAGATTGTTTTCAGTGCCTTCATACTTCATCTGCTTTATTTATTCCCACCATACCCCATAGAGAGAAGAGGGACAACAGGGAAAGCAATCATAAGTTTATAAATGATCTTCTTTCAAAGGCAGCAGGAAGCTGATAGAGCAAAAGATCACTAGAGTTAGATGCCCAAAGAATACATTCAATGAAATATTTTAATGAAATCTCAAATCATGATTCAAAGGCAATAGGGACTTAGTATAAAACTCCCAAAAGGTATTAATTCAGGGTTATCACCAGGCAGCAAAAGACAGACTCAAACATTTTTATTACAACCCATTAACAAAAGTGTCTGTTCTTTTTTTTTTTTCAGTCAAATAGTCACTAAACATGTATTTAATACCACTTAATTCTAGACATGGGGAGGTAAGAAGTCACAATTGTAATTTAGCATCATTTAAAGACACAATATCTGAGTGCCTAACTTTTCCAATTTTTTTAACATGATGTAGACACAACCTAATAAGACATATTTATTTATAGATCAAGGCAAAGATTGTCTGTTGGTTCTTAATAACATGCCAACCTTAAGATGACGTCATCCTGTAGTTCCATACCTCAACAAGTCCCTGCAATATCCTAACAAAGATGACACACCCATAATGCACTCTGGCTGCTGATGGGATTAGCATATTCAGGGTAGAGGTAAGAAGTATGGCAGCTCCAAAAACCCTGAAAAAAGAAAGGGCGTTAATAGAGCTAAATTTCTCAGGTCAAGCTAATTACAAGCAATTTTAAAGTGTACTTTTTTTTTTTAAAGGATAAATATGTTCTGGACTTGTTTATCTAGCCATTACAAATAGATACTTGGACTATCTTGAAATACTAGATTATTTGAAACACAAGAAATAAAAGAAGGAGCCAATAAATCTGGTTATACTTACGTGTATTTACTTTCTTCATAAATGTAATTACAAATTGTAAATATTTAATGAATCACCGTATGTGTTTTTGGTCTGTATCTCAGTTTACAAGGTAAGCTGCTTCAGGACAAGAGCTTGTTTTCAGACACACTGTTATATCCCCAATACTTAGCACAGTGCCTGACACAGAGTAGATATTCACTAAGGAGTTTTTGAAAAAAATAATCAATGCCTAAATAGAGTTGTGCCTTACATTGTACAACTATTTCCAACTTTCCTAGACTGTGTATATCCATAAAATTTTTATGAATGAAACCATATTTTAAATGTCCCAAGAAAGCTCATGGTCAGATCCTACAGCACATATTTTTATAATCAAAATAATTATTACTTAATATAGTTAATATGTCTAGCTCAACTTTTTCTTTTCTTTCTTTTTCCTTTCTTCTTTTTGTGCATGTGGGTTGGTGGGGAGATTGTGTTTGACGCATACCTCTAAGTGTATACAACGATTCAAGAAAAGAATTGCTAGAAATATGGTGCTAACAATTTTATCCATCTGCAAGTAAAAATTCCATTTCATCATTAAAAACGTTTTTATAATGTTCATACAAAGCAAGTAAAACATCCTCATAATTGGGTAACTCCAGAAATATTCTCTTGCACAGAAGTTTTAGGATACAGTATCACTAATGAGCTCAGCTGTGTGTTCTGTGCAAATTTTCTCAAGTTGAACGTTCAGCCTTTAATTCAGTCAAAATTGGTTGCCTCAAAGAAGGTCTAATTCTTCCAGGGGGGTACATTTAAATGTAACTGTGAAAGATCCAAGTTTCTGACAGAGGCTTGATCGTTATTAATCTGCTACTAAAATCTGAGAAATGACTTTACAAAGGGCTGAAACGGATCAGCTCTTTTTCTATGAATCTAGACTGGGTCAAATCCTTTGGCCTACTGACGCAGCCTAATATCTGCCTGTCTTCAGTGGCTTCTCTCCACCGAGCTAGATAGTCACTCAGAAGGTGAATGTTCTGTTTCATTCTCCCTCTGTGCAGCTTGCTGAATAGGGTATCTTTGGGTTTTTGTCAAAGAAGAATTTATTTCCTAAATGTGTGACACAAAACAGAAACTTTCTCTTTATAGAAATGACTCCTATGAAAACGTCACACACCTAGTGACATTACACTCCTGCCAAATGTGGATTTATTTTTCAGAAAATAAATGCAAAAATCCCATAACCTGTCTTTGTAAACTAAGAATCCAAAATTGTTATAAAACTTGATTTAAAACATATTTTAATTCTTGATTATCACTTTTAAGTTGAAAGAATGTTCACCTCTCTTCAGAATGCAATGCAAATGTTCTCATGTGCAAAGCCCAGAACACTTTGGAGGCTTCCTTTAGGGCTGAAAGGAAAGAGTAGGGAGTATATGGGGCATGTTTCCTGGACCTCATGGTAAATGGTCCATAGTCCAAGGGCCAGTGAGGTGAACATGTCTTTCCACTGTTCTGAGAGTTTGAATGTGGTACCTGTGCAACAGAGAGGATAAAGGCAGAAAGGCCAAGCGACACAGGACTTTTGGTCACATGAGTAGGCTGTCTGGGAGATTGGCAAACTTGTGCTGACTGTATCTTCCTGTAGATCCGTTCCACTTTGCTTATTGTCATCAATAACAGTGAGACTGACTGCCTAAAGCTTTAAGGCTAGAGCAACCAGAGCTACATAATGCTACAGGGTTTTTGAAAGTGTTGATATGAATTATGCATCCACTCCATTCAGCCCTTTGGAAGAATTCTTTCAAAGTGTCATCCATGAACCAGCTGCATCAGAATTCCCTGGAGCACTTATTAAAAATGCAGATTCCTCACTCCAGGCCTTTCAAATCAGAATGTGCTGGGAGTGAAGCCTGGAAATCTGTGCTTTAATAAGCAGTCCAGGTGATCAGTTTGTTTGCATGCTAAGGTTTGCAAAGAAAATAAATAAATAAATAAATAAAAAATACTGTAAGGTTTTTATCCATGTTTGTGTAATACGTATGCCTTATTTTCTAATAATTGTTTTGAAGGTATGAAGTTCATTTTCTATGAATATTACTTTCAATCATCCCTTTCTCTATCCCTTTTGAAGGGTTTTTAATACTGTTATATCTAGATAAGCTGGAAAAAGATGAATTGTGTCCACTCTTTACCTCGTTTTCTCAGCCTCCACACTGTTGATATTTTGGGATGAATAACTCTGTCTTCGTGATGCTGTCCTGTGTCCTGCATGATATTTAGCAACACCCCTAGCCTCCATGTGCTAGATGCCAGCAGTAGCATACAGCCCCAAGTTGTAACACCAAAAATATCTTCAGCAATTGTAAAATGTCCCCTGCTGATTCAGTAGAGCTGAACCAATTATGAACTATTTGTTGAGTGTCCACTATAGTCAGTCCTAAATTTAATCAGTGCTTATTCAACTTGCTAGACACCATGCTAACACTTCACATAAAATCCACAACCACCTAACAACCCAATGACATTGGTACTCTTAACATACCCATCTTATAGATGAAGAAACTAAGCTTGAGATAAGTGAAATCACTTGCACAAGTTGTTAACCAGTTCTAAGGAGAGGAGCCCTGTTTCCAAATCTAGTCTGATTCCAAAGCCAGTGGGTTTTGCCACTAGGATTTATATCTGATGATGCCCATACTACATAGTTAGTAGTGTATTTCAAGATTTTAATTGTAAATTTAAATAATAATCTTCACAAAGCTACTTGAAATCACCCTACTACTCCTGATAAATTTTACTAGATCACTTACAATGTTTACCTTCTACTCTTGCCTCAAACAGTGTTTCAAATTATATAATCTTATGACATTTGTAAATGTCTCCTACTTTTAAGTTCCTTAATTACTTAAATCATCTTTTTTTATTGTTTATGGTGCAATGGTCATTGCATCATAACAATGCATTGATTTTTTTTGGTAATTATTTAAGAATAAAATCCATCAAACTTTCAGAACCTCATCTTCTTTTTCAATGTTACATAATTGGTATACAAATTAATATCCAAGTAAATGAAATTCTGATTATCAATATTGTTGCCCAATATGGGAAGCCTTTACACCTTTTCTTGCTGTATTACACACAGTGAAAATTGAAGCAGCCATTTATTTTTTTTTTAATTTTTTTTATGAAGCAGCCATTTCATTCAACATTCATTTACACTCCAAATCTTTATGAGACTATATTTAGATCAGGGTATTGTGCTGAGGAGGAGAAGGGTGCTAAAATTTACAGTGTGCTTACTATACTTTCTCCACCTACATTAATTAATTTAATTCCCACGACAACTTTCTGAGTTACACTTTCTTCTCATTTTACAAATATGAAAATGCACACAGAAAGTCTATGCAAGACAAAGGCAAGCAGTGGAGCTGAGATTTGAATCCGGGCTCTCTAACATGAAATCTGTGCTCTTTCAACTATAAGATGCTACTAGGCACTCAGAAAGGGACAAGGATGGCCCTTGGTGTAGGTGGAGAGAGGAAAAGACAAGTAGCCAAGAGACAGTTCATGTCAAAGGCTGTAACAGGAGTACAAATGGAAAGCGTCGGAAGAAGAAATCCATTCCAACTGGGGTGACCAGGAAGCAAGCCCTTCATAGGGAAACTTTCAAATTCGGCATTGGAAAATGAAGAAAAAAAAGAAGAAAGGAATTCCAAAAATAGAAAATGGATCAGCAAAGGTTCAAAAAATGGAAGAGAGTACATTCTCTCTCAGAAATTAAAGTAGTATTGAAAATGGCTGGACATAGTGGGACAGGTGATAGAACTAAGAACATCAAGAGTGAGATGATAAATAAGGATGGTGTTGGGGTGGGCGGGTTGAGGAAAGGTAGGTAAGACAAGAGGTGAAGAGCAGAGTCTGTAAGTCCATCTCGGAAATGATGGAGTTTAGAGTCTTAGAGAATAATAGATGATTATGCCACTAAGGTGGCATAATCTCTCCACCTACACCAAGGGCCATCCTTGTAAATATGAAGCTTACAAGAATTTAAGGGAGACGGATCTATGAAGCCAGGGAGACAGAAGGTGATCAGGATTCATGTAAGTTAAGGCAAGATGATGGCTTTCAGAGGAACAAGGGGCCAAAGTCATTAACAGTAGTAGAGGAAAAGAAAGTGACATAAATACGGTGCAGAAATTTTGTCACTAAATCTAACTTTGTCACTTGATAAAGATGTGACAGGAAGTTACTAAACTTATAGGCTTCTGATTAGCTGTCTATGTAAAGAGCTGTGCCTTGTAATGGTCAAGAATATTGTTTTAGGGCCGGCCAAGTGGCGCGATGGTTAAGAACTGGTTTGGGACACNAGAGTTTCCAATCCCCGCCCCCAGCCACCGCTAACCCTTCTAAATTAAGTGGACAAACTACACGACCCTAAAGCCGGGCCCCGCCAGTTACCTGTTGGCTGCCAGCCGAGACGCGATGTAGCCGCCCGGAATCTGGGTGATGATGTAGCCCCAAAAGAAGGACCCGTGGATCATCCCCACGGTTTCCGGGTCCCAGTTGAATTTGGCTTTCTATGGGAGTAGGAAAAAAATAATAATTTAATTTATTTTTTTTTAAATGGGGTGGAGAGGGGAGAGTAGAATCAGTGCTTGGGCTGAACGTTCATCTTCCGTGGTTCTCGGGCCAGAAAATCCTCGACCCCCGGGGTACTCCCGGCATTCCGGGGTGGAGGGAGCTTAATTTTCGTTTCCTAACAAAACTGAACCTATACTTTCTTATGGAGAAGAAATGCCTCTTTTAAGTAAATAGTCGTGCTCATTTGAAATGTATTGTGATTAGTTGCAAAGCTGGGCGTCCTGGCTTTGCTCTCAGAAAACTGTTAGGCGGGTCGGATCGCCCCACATCGATGAATGAGGATTTCTCAGGGCTCCGGTTTGGGAAATTAAGACTCTCTAGGAAGAGATTCCGTTAGCCAGCTGGGGATAGAGACACCTGGCGGGGTGCGTTAGCCGCCTCCAATCAATGCGGACCGTGGTGGAATCTCTTGGAGAAAGGATTCCCTACCGGGTAAATTTTGGGGAAGGAAGGTGGAGAGCTTGGGATAGAAGGTGCGGAGGTTGGAGGAGCTGGGAGGAGGATGGTCTCAGAAAAATAGGAATGACCGTGGGCCTAAGTGACTTGGAGTAGCTCAGGAAATTTGGGGAGTCAGTGGAGAGACAGGTGTTGCTTTGGGGTGGTCCTAAGTGCCGGAGAGGGGTGTGTCTGCTGGTCCGGGCCTAACTCCGCCCTCGCCAGTCTGGGCGGCCGAACCAGGTGCACCTTAAAGTAAACTAGGGCGAAATATCTGCATCAGAAAGGGGGGAAAGCGCTTATTCAGCCAGGGGAAGTGGGCCCCCCGTTTTCTCCCGTTGAGTGAAATGTTGAAACCAAACGCACTTTGCAGGGTCTCCCGTAATCCCCAAGGCGGGTTGGCGCTCACTGCTTCCGTGCACAGC